ATGGATCCATTCAGTATGAGCTATAGGCGAGGCGAGGGCTTACCCGGCCGATAAAGGCCTCCAGTGCCTAGAGAAATTCTCGTCTGGCGCCGCCCCGTCGGGTGAAGACCACGAGGCGTCGGGTGAAGACCACGGCCTAAGCTCGCCTCAGGGCCGCCGCAGCATTACCAGAGCGGTACCATCACTCGCCGTCCGGGCGGCATTTCGACACGGGCGAGGTCGGCGTCTAGCCGCCGGGCGGCTTTACTTAGAGGGCGTGACGTCGACATTAACGTGCTTCTGCTCAGTGCCGAGTTCCCCGGTGTAAGCTTCAGGGCGCAGTGCTCGCCGCTGAGTATTGTGGATAGATCCAGGACCCTGTCCACTCGTACAAGACAGCCTCGTCAGCTGGCTGAGCCTTTTCCATTGTGCGCTGCTTTTCACCCGCACGGGGGATCCCTCAGCGTGTTTCTCACGAGGACAACGTGCGGTTTTGCGAGAGGCACCTGGTGCATGCCGTAAGCTGTTGAGCGTGGATAAGCAGTCGGAGCCAGCTTTGGTGACGAAAGTTGGGAGTAAGCGATTAACTGTTCACCCGACGCGATGAGTTCTTGACGCTCTCCTGCTTACGGCTTTGATCATTTTTGGAACACTCGGTTAGGAAGAAACTATTCTCATAAAATCGGTTGCATTGCCGACGATAAACCAGTAGTATCAAACACATCGGGTGAAGAAATCTCAATTTTTAATGTCTCGGCCGCTTCCAGCTTCCATTTTTGGCGTTGTCACAGTCGCGAGTATGACGCATCGACCGTCGCAGCTGGCGGCGCGGACGTTCCGCCGGCCCTCACAGTTAACGGAACGAACTGCATGGCCAGTCGTCACCACTGACACTTGTGACAGGGTTTGCTGCCTGTCCACTACCTGCGCCAATGGTGGCGCTACGCCGTGAGGGTCACGAACACTACGGCCACAGCCTCGTGTCGCCGCAGACAGGTAGTGGTGGTAACGCCCGTCACGGGTGACGCTGGCGCCGGGCTGGCCGTCACAGTCGGTGGTAGGAACCCATTAATTTTTACAGATAACGGTACTACTGAAAACCGTTGCTCTGCTTTCATGCGATTTGTTGCTACGGGCTCTTCGGGAAACTCGCCCGTGACAATGAGCACTGCTGGAGACGTCCAGGGCTTATATATATATATATATATATATATATATATATATATATATATATATATATACATATAACAGTGGCTTTTACAGATGGACTAATTGTTCGGGGTATCGTCTTAATCTTCTCATATTGAAGTTATCCTCAGTAAAATAACTAATAACGCCAGAAACCGGGAGTTAAGGCATTTCTTGCTGATGCGAAATGAGTTTTCACACCATGACATGTATCGTAAGCAACCGATAACTACGCGTACCAAGAACACTAAATGGCCGGGGAGACGTATGTGAGAGATACACAAGGGGGTTAATTCAAAGATATAACGTCGCTAAGCTCGGTGCTGAAATCCGTGCACGCAGGCTTGTGTGACAACTGTCGGGGCGCGCGCTCCAGACTGCTGAAACAAAAGTGCGGAGGTGACGGAGGCAGAACTAGGTCAAGTTATAAGCGAAACAGTGGTGTTGGTCTTAATTCGTACGGTTACGATCGAGTAATTCCCTTAAAAAAGGGGTCGCGACATTCCAGTGGGGTCAAAACGTTGGACAGGTGGGTGCCTCAGGTTACACAGGGGGCCACAGAAGGTGCCGGAGAATGGATACGGGCGGGCCTGATCACGATCACATAGCCATTTGGTAACTTAACCGCGACAGACGTGGCTATTTTAGTAACTACGCGTTATATGCTACTAACGAACAATCCAATACACCCACGCCAACGAAAACTTAACTAAGGCATCGTGGCCATGCGAGGCCGGCCGGTCTGCTTAGGCATCAGCACTCAGAACTCAGTTCCTCAGGTGATTTTTCAGTGCATGGATGGCATTTAGATTTATGGTGTTACTAAGCCGATTTCACGAAAGCGACAGGGATTTCGCGAACATCAAAACCGGTACCTGTTGGAGCCAGTGATGCGACAGTAACCGTCTCGCGCTCAACCTTCTCAACCCTTAAGTAACATGGAAATGTCACATTTTCTCTGCACTTCCGCATGAACACAAACGTAAATCAGTCATTACATCCGCTGCAAGCGCATCAGACCGTGCTGATCATATGCACAAACAATCGGCGACGGAATGCTGGCGTAACTAGTGCATTGACAATCACAGGTTACTTGTCGGTGGGTGGTAGGTCATATCATATTTAGTATCCAAATTTAATAGTCTGAAGAACGAGTCAGATCATTTGTGAGCTGAATAATCAGTGTGCGTTCTATATCTTTCGTCGTACGGAATTTGTCGCCTGCGCGTTAAGAGGGAAGGACCTCAGATTTCGGTAACCAAGCAAGCTAGTGCCAACCTAGAAACGCATTAGGAAGCTTTCGTCAAACCAAATGAGATAAATGTGTCATATTAATGGTGAATGTGACCTATAATAGCTTGACTCAGGTCAAAGAAAACTAAACCAGGTCAGATTAGCGCGTTACAGACCCCTCCTGTTATTTCAGGAGCTAAGTTTGACATGACACTGCAGAAGTCGGCGTTGAGTTGAATAAATCGAACGGCACTTTAATATAGGTACTAATATACATCGGCGCATTTGCCTACGATATGTCATGCATCCTTGGATGACCACATACTTGTATAGAATCGCACAATCTTCCAACGGTCAAGTTTAGTTACAACAACCGAAGTTTCATCTAGCTTGACCTGGAATGACCCGACCTTGCAAAAGCCACCACAATTATAGCAATGCACTTCAAAACGATGCAGATGCGAGGGAGGGACTAGTTGCATGCGAAAAATAGGTGTTATTTGTCACCGTTGAGCAAAATATCGCCTCGAGACCTCGAGAAAGCGGTCGCACATCATGCATCACGGATCAAGGTCCAACTTGACAAGTTTACTGAAATGTGTAAAATTATGTTAACCCGGGCATCCATTATTTTGCGCCAGCTTCAAAACCATTCAGAAGGTATTCTGGAAATAACCTTGGGGAGAAGGGGACTCAAAGTCCCTGACTGACGGATATGTTAGATTTCGTCAATGCATAGTCCGAGCGTGCATTACGCATCTGTGGTGGCCCATCATAGTCTGTTGCTTCTTGACACCGCACTCCTCTCCGTGAAGACTGCGGTTCCGGGGACCATTTTGGCAGGCCGAAGGTTTCTAAGCACGTTGATTGCTCCGAAAACAGCCAGTTCAGTTTTGGAGGCAATTACTTTCGTATTGTAAACTAAGCCGATGGTGAGCCTTGGACAAAGCGCTCTTCATGGTTTCAATTTGCTGCTGAAGTTTAGTTTCCCTTCCAACGCCGGCTTTAGAGGCCCAAAAACGAATCCCGTCTTTAAGAAACTCATCGGATTTGGCTTCCTGTTGCCTCAAGAAGTAACATGAAACAAAAACACTATTCAGAAGATTGTTTTATATTTTGTCCAAATCCCAGAAATGACTCCTTTCGTCCAACTTTGGCCACCTTTGGGCTCCATGGCCTAGTCGCCCCCCCCCCCCCCCCCAACTCACTCAGGCAGACTCGCCCTTGTGCCCAACCGTTATATTCTTAGCATATGATTTATGCCTCCCTCGGGTATCCGTCTTGGAAGCTTTTATACAAGCTTTTGTCTGCTTTGCGCATATACGAGTCTTAAATTCATTACTGAGTGGGATGTTTTGTTATTGCTATTGTATAGGCCTTTGGTTCTTACGACATTTGATCGCTGGTAAGTGTGATTGTGATCAGTCTGCGTATACTTTTTATCAACTTGTTTTTAGTACGGCTGTTTCAAAAATTGTGCCACCTATTTATACGCTTTATTGCACCATTTTTGCCGTCATAGTTTGATAGTTCTTGCTTCACTTGTACCCACATGAAATGCAATGATCTTTTGCCGCTTATCGCTGAATGATGCGTCCGCTCGCATAAATGACTGCCTTCATGCTACCATAGACAGGCAAAGCACCGCGGGGGTCAACCGTAACATGCTACCGTTGTCCCACAAAGTATCATACTTGCCCCGAACACGTTCTGCAAAAGTTGGAGGCGGTTATGGAACAAACGGAAGAGCTTCGATTATCAAGCGTCACCTTCAGCTCGGGCACAAATGTCCTCCCTTTCAGCACGGCAAGCATAGCAAATGACAGAGCACAGAAGAGTGTGGGCAATGGATATTTACTCGGACCGCCTATAATCGATATTTGATGGCAGCTGATTGCCTGTCCGTAGAGCGTTACTTCTTTGTGAAAAAATCATAATGGATACGCGTATTTATTAGCACGAAAACGGCGCTGGCGTGTGCGTTTTTGCACAGCTGCTATGTTCCCGTTGTCCAGTGTAACAGCTGACTCCGACCTCCCATGTAACGGTTATGACATTCGTCATTGAAACATTGCAGGCAATACAGGATTCCGTTATGATGCGCCGTTGACGATCTCGAACGTGTGGTGATTTCTTACTAATATCAGCGATCTCATCGCTTGACATACTCTTATGCACCAGACGATCGGTCAGTTCGATCACAATCCACTGCTCTGGACTTCTAGATCAGTATTTGGATAAGCAGTTTCATATTGATTTCAGTGCGTGGATTGACTGGGCAGATATTAGTTTGTGACCGCGTTCATTTCCCTAAGGGCCAAAGTTGATAACAGGGAGCACCATCCCTGAACGTGTTTTGTGCCACCACGCGCACAACATTTCGCAATTTGTATATGCACCATGCCGATAGCCTCCGCTCCACTTTTGTCGCAGTTCACAAGATCAGATCACGAGAGTGTCAACAACTGATTACAGTTTAATTGTCCTAATCCTTAACTTCTTGGGCCACGACGCCCTACCAGGTGTATAGCCTTGCTCCCGACCCTCGCCACACCACCGGCAGAGCTCCTATTCTAAAATATTTCTCTCTTATCGCTCAGGCGCTACCGGAAGAAGCATGGACTGAGCCCGAAGACATCCCCCAGGGTGGACGGTGTGACGGTGACCAGGCCGACGCTGGCCACCTCCTCAGAGCCTCTGGGCCTCTCGGCCGGGGCCAAACAGGTGCTCAGGTCCGTCGACGACAGCTTCAGGTGGGTCAGACCGGGCCGGTGCGGCGCACGGCACATTCAGGCCCGAACAGGAGCGTGAGACGCACTGTGCGGCAACGCTGCTCCTGCGCCTTCATCGCTCTCACACCGGTCTGTCATGCCAATGTTTGTGCTTTTGATGAAGGGGCGCCGAAATACGTTTGCGTGATTAGTTTTGTAGCAGCGCGATAAGTTCAGGTCATGGCGAACCAATGACATAAGAGGAATGGTGACGTCATCAGTAACCAATGACATGAGAGGAATGGTGACGTCACCAGCAAGACTTGGGCGTGTCTAGCGCAAGACATTATATTTCACAGTCACAACCATTAAAATTTGATTTGAAGTGTGTGTAATAATTCGAAGCACGTTTCATTTTATCATCACGTCTCATATCATCATCTCGAGTCTTACCAACAAACAGTAAAGACCTAGACGCTGGGAAATAATCGCTGTGATGGTCTGTTTCCAGCTGCGAAGGTCTACCGTACGGTTACTACTCGGACCCCAGCAACGCTTGCCACGTATACCACGTCTGCTACCCGATGAGCCTTCCTTCCGTCTCCAGACAAGCGCCTTCGGTCAGGTCAGAGCCGTGATCATGGTCAGATTTTCGTGGTTCAGTCCCGAAATCAGCCGGTTAGGCCAGGCCAGGCCGGATCATTCCAGTCGTTCAGGTCGGATCAGAACAGTCGCCCGGTCAGGTCAGGTCAGAGGGGTCAGTCCGTCAGGCCATGTCACACCGTCCATTGTGACAGCCAGGTCAGAAAAATCTGTGGTTAGGTCCCAATCCGTGACTCACTTCAAGAGCCCCCGGTACCACGGACACCCGAATGCTACCTTCCCTGATTCAAGACTGCTTCAGTTCACCGATGGAGAAAGTTCAGGAGGCGGAGTCATTTAGGCCCCCGGCCGAGAGGCACACTGCCACCACATTCGACTCACGCGGTTTGGTTCAGACGCGGATGGTCGGTCAAGCAGCGCTCGGGGTTGGGGGGGGGGGGAAGGGGGGTGAATGGCGGTGCTGTGGGATGGCAGACTTAATTTGACCCCTCCGAAATGTGTAAAATAATGTAGCTAGAGCCCCCTTAGCTCGCAGGGTAAGAAGGACACCTTGCTAACTCGTACGCTGTTAAGTGTATTTGCAAAGAACATTATGCACGTAGATGAGACAACGGGGCGTAATGGCCGAGTGGTTGGTGCATCGGACCCTCACGCGGGGAGCCCAGGTTTGAATGCCGGTTGCGCCATGGCCCCTGAGCGCTGATACAGTCAATGCAGTCGCTGTCGCTCCTTAAAAATCGTGACGAACTCTTCAAAAGAAGAGGTAGATGAGACGGTATTAAAAGCCTTATTCTTCGTACAATAAACAGGAGAATGGACAAATAGATGTAATGTCTCGGTCAAATGCCTTTATCGAAAAGAATTTATCGAATTCACTTTGCGAATATCAGTAGTAAATTCTATGGCATTTTCAACTGATATTCATTTCAATAAAGGCATGTAGCCAAAATGTCACACATATCCTTCCATCATCCTGTTTATTCCATGAGGAATAAGGCCATCAATACTGTCTCATCCTCGTCAACCCAATTATGTCAAGCTTTAGGCATCTGAGTAACATTCGGGTCAAATAAGATCAAGAAGTCCCAAGTTGAGATCCCTGTCAAAAGTGGCCTCAGGCCTCTTCGTGCAACCAAGGTAGGTTAAGCTTTATGTATCGTGTGAGCAAAGGGTCATTCGGGTTTATTTGAGGTCTATTTTTTATATAAGGTGATAAGATTATATATATATATACATATATATATATATATATATATATATAAAATATAAATAACATAAGATATAAGATAAAAAAATGAATAGGGTGATCTTTATTCTAAATATCACCTTATTTAAGCTTTGGGAGGACGAAATGATTAAAAGACTTCGGCATAATTTAATAATTTAGTTAATTACTTGGCGAATATCAGTAATCATGGTCAAAAACTGCTCTAGGTGATACATTTCCGACAGCAAAAGGTTGATCACCGTCATTTTTGGCCACTATCCTTCGCCGCCCAATGTAAAGCTTGATAAAAAGTATGTTAACATCCTGTTTATCAAGAAATTCGAAATTAGAGGCGTCCGAGCTACCTCACATAACAGGTAACGAGGGTTTCGAGCTTGATCTGGCCTACATAGTTGAGCTAAGGGGACCCAAATTTGCCGCCATACTAGCTTGAATCATCTAAAGAAACAACTCAAAGTTAAAACACTTCATCTAACACTCCATTATCGTACCACCTGTTTTACCTGTTTTAACCTGGCCCGCATGTCAACGACCTTAAAAGGCATATCATATTGCTTCTAGCAGAAACAAAAACAAATCAGCCAATATGTGTCGAAAGCTGCACGAACTTTGACACTGCAAAGTGTATGCAAATTTTGTCGAGCACGTCTTAATATAGTTGATGGTCCCCCCCCCCCCCTCCCTATGCTCCGAAGGCTGGCTTCTGTTGGCAGGATGATGCTGTCTGCCAGCTTCTTCTGCAACGTGAACCAGGTGTTCGACCAACACCTGCTCACCTGCGTGCCGGACACGCCCAGCTTCGACTGTGAAGGTGTTCGGCGCCTGTACGGCTCCAGCAACTCACAGTTTTTCGGCGAAGTCGACTTCAACGAGTCAACGGGTGCCATCAGCCCGCTGGCCGACAGCGACGGCCGCCTGCCGGACAGTGTCGTTGACCTGGGGACGGGTCAGACGGCTGCCGACGCCGACCTACCCGAAGGCGAGAGACTGCAGTTTGTCGACCTAGTGAAGCGCTCCCTAGCACTGATCTCAGGCCTAAAAGTGGTGGCTATTTCAGTGGATCCCGCTAGCGTTAACAGTCACTGAATGCGATTTCAGATCATTGGGATTTTTAAAAGGCATGTGCCTAAAATTATTTTCAAACTACCGAAACCTGGGTCATTGTCTTCGTGCCAAGACATTCTAATACGCACTCAGGTGGCGGTCAAGTCAACCACACGAAAGTTTGTTTCCAAAATAGCTTCCTAATGACTAGGCGTAGTCGCACCAAGCTTTGAAAAGCCATAGACAATGCAGCAATCGATCTTTAGGTGTACCTAGTCAGCTCGCTGACCTATGATAGGTCAAAATTAGGCCATGACTGTCAAGCAAGGACAATCCCAAGGGATTAGTTGAAACTGATGCGACAACAAGGTTTTAGGGGAGGTTGCACATCTTTGAGGCGCTTTCTCAGACATTTAGTTAATCGAGGTCAGAATTAAGATTCATTTGTTTGACCTGAGGTGAATGGAATGAGGTCAGGTCGATGTCACAACCAAACTGTTTTTGCTGAAGACCCTGCTTTGTATGGCATTTTTGACGCACATTTAAAAATTTTGGATAACAGGGAGGTCAATAATATGTTATTTGAACTTCATTAGGTCAGAGGTTACTGATCTAGAATGCTCTCGATTATACTTTCCTTTCCAGGAACGTGCCGCCTAGCCTGCTCCTTCATGCTTATTTAAATTAAAAGATCAAACGATCTCGCAGCTTTTGGTTACCATTACCTTGTGAAGGTCATCTAAGGTCACGGAGGTAAAATGGATTACCAGGAACCTTTTACTAAGAACAGATGTCTTCAAGGACGTTGCATGAAGAGGTCTGAGGAAACTTTGGACACCAATGTGCAGTTTGATCTTGATTGGCCTTATTCGACCCGAAGTTCATGATCTAGGGGGCTCAAAGCTCTACATAAGTAATATCACGCGCAGAATTTTCCTCCTGTGAATTTGATGTCCCTAGCTCTCTTACTAATTGAAAATTAACCGGCCACCTGAGCGCACGCTAGTGTTAGGATCATGCAAATGGTTTTACAAGCAAATCGCTATTCTGGAGCTACTTATGTATGGGCCATAACTGGCCAAACACACCGCCGCTGTTTTTCAAGTATGCTGTTCCGAAAGAAAGCCAACCGCAGTGACCATGTTTTACTTCAGTGTATGATAGGCTAAGTGAAAATGGAGAGGCTGTTTGCCTTTGTTGGGAGTGTGGACGGATGCGGTGTGTTGCCCTCAATGCATGCATTTGCAGGGAACTTTAGAGTTACCAACGTGTCTGAATCATCCAGTGCCATAACAACTTTGTTGTAAGCAACGTGTTACCGATTTGCAGTGCAGAACTTGAGAAGTATGCCCTTTAAGCTATCACTGACAGACTGCAGAGAACACAAATGCATGCTCTATAGGACCGGACAGAGCACAAAAGTCTACCGTATTGCTCAACGGAAATACAGGTATTCTGTCATCTGGGTATGCAAAATGTATCAACTTCATGTACTACTGTGTTTTAGTAGGAAGTAGTGTGAGTAGTAAATACGCCCGCCCGCTGTGAGTACCTTTGCATGGTGCCTCTTCTGTACCCTAATGTAGCTCCTGTGTTATGGACAGCTAGTATCTCTCGAGGCCAATGTAAGCATATTTTGTCGTTGTTGGCCGAGCCATGTTTCCAGCGATACAGTCTCTGAAGGACCTCTCACATAGCTACCGGCAAACAGACTTCAGGATGAATACTTGCAGGCTGAAAAAAATGTGCGCTCCGACGCGCAAAATCTTAGGATTTGGGGAGACATTTTTACAAATTGTCAATAAAAAAGCTGATACGTTCTCTTGTCTCCAAGAACAAAGCCATAAGGAGCCACAAGAGACAAGCCGCACTTGAGGATGTTTGAACTTGATCAAAGTGAGTAGCGCCGAGGAGACGTAAAAGAGAAATACAGGCAACTGTATTTTTCATAATGCCTACCTGGACGCTGCTTCCAAGAGCTTCAAAGGCGCCGTTTTTCACAATTATCAGCGGATTTGAATTTCAGGCAGGCTTTGAAATTTCCGCCACCTGGTTGCAAAACAATGCCCTCTTTCCTGTCCGCACTCTCCAGTCCACTCTCTTCAGTTCGCTCTCTCCAGTCTGCTCTCCAGCCCCTCTCTCAAATCCGCTCTCTCCAGTCCAATCTCTCTCCAGTCCGCGCTCTCCAATCCTCTTTTTCCAATGCTCCCTCAAATCCACTCTTTCCACTCTTTACTCTCCAGCCCGCTTTTCCCAGTCCGCTCTCTTTAATCCACTGGCCAGCATGCAGCATCCGCATCGTCGCCTGAGCGAACACCTTACCTCTGATTCACACTCCGTGCACATATGACCCATATATGACCCAGACGTCACGTAGTGTGCCGGCAAGTGGTGCTCGCTCGTTTCGCAGCGGCAGGCGAAGACGCGCGTACCGCCGTGGCCTGTGAGTCGTGACGGAGTTCCGCTGAAGCGTATACAAAACAACGCAGAACGTGCCTCAGATAACCAACGTTTCATGCAGTCATAGTTCGCTCGGTCATGTTAAACATACATACCATGGTTCAGAGCGTTGTTGGAATGTTTTTTTCAACGGCGTAAATGACAAAAATCGACAGCCTTCGGCGAATGTATGACAGAAGAAACTAGCTCTTTTTCTGTTAATCGTTGGACAAAAATAGCAGACCAAGCCCGCGTGACCAAACAACTGCAATAGAAAACAATGCAAAAGAACACACAAACAAACAACAGCGATTACGATAGGTTATGCCACCATTTTCTCGCCGCTGCTTTTCCAGCTTACCATCGGCGTAGATATAGGCAAGATATTTCTTGTAATTCCCGCACTCACTTAAGTTAAGAACGCCATGATTAGTCGTGTTCCGATAGTATACACACGCTCACCGTCTATATAGGTTAGATGAAAGAACATCTCGCTGTAAAGAAGTATAATTATGCAGTGGTGCGGTGTATGCATTTGAATGTTACCATGGCAACGTATCAATATATTGTTGACCAATAAAATGCTGTTTACCATGCTAAATTTTGTTCGCTGTACTCAAATACCTTTCGGATGGGAGCTGGAATCAGCCGGGTGAGAGCAGGTGGATCATGCAATAATGCATTACATCAGGGAACAGTGGCGAGGACATGACGTTCCGCGTGCTACTCGGGACAACCCCCTCTGAAACATGTGACTCGATGAAAGAGTTCTCGAGGATCATTGCCGACCTTTGAAGTGGTCAAGAAGTGGAGTAGCATCAAGGTTCAGGGGGCAGGCTGGTGACCGACGGCGACCGCCGGCCATCATGGCCCCATCCCCCGCTGCAGTCGGGAGGTGTCTGTTCTGTTGAGCCAGTACCGCAGAAGGAAAGCCAGGGGGGTGAACCGGAAAAAAGTATATATTACACGCCCAGGCTTATAGCATCATCATACAGACAGTCGGTAGGAGAAAGATCACAGCCAGATGGGTGCATCACCGCAGCGACGAACAGAAACAGGGACGCGTATCCAGCTCGTCCTCCCGCTTGGTTCTTTACGGCGAGAGGGTAACAGTCAATAAGTTAGTTAAGAAATAACGATACATTATTTGAGCCGCAGGGGAGATATTAATACTCTCTAGACCCCTGTCGTCATCTCAGAAATCAAGGATGCTACGTCGGCGCAAAAAAGGCGTTGAACAGCTGCTGGAAAATTATCAGACGACATCAGCTCATATCGGCACACGTGACCTGTGATATGTATATCAGGTCAAATGGATGTTTTACCGGCCAGTACGGCTGTATCAAGGGCTGAACACGTCATAGCAATTGGGAAAACAGCGTTAGAAGGCCTGCAGAAGCTTTATGATATGTACCCTTAAGCTTTTAATTGTATCGTAATCAAAAGTTGAAATATGGTCAAAGAGATCATGATGTGATCTGACTTGATCTTGGATAATTTGATCCTTAAGAAAATCGACAGGACAGTAGTGACGCAATTGAAGATGATCCAGATAAAGGCGGTCCAGAAAACTTTCTGTAAAGGTATTTCCTGCTGGGAATAAACATTATTTATCACATTGGAACGAAGTTTCGCCGATTTTACGCGGAAGGAAAGGTCACGAATCAGGAGCCATCAACACAGGCAACTTCAACTTTGTACACAATGTGTGAACTAGCTGATGCAAAACTTAGCTGTCAAAAATTTTCTTGCTGTGCTCAAAGCCGGTCAAGACTCATTTTAAAGAAAAAAATGGGAGGCTCCCCCTGCGGCCCCCTCTCGTAGGGCGAGGGCTCAGATTTTCCTGAATAACTCCCGAGCAGCGCGGTATAGCGACGCCAAACTTTGCATAGCTGTAGATAATTGTACGCAATTAGATTTCACCTCATTTCATTCCACGTGGGTCGGCACGAACGTCAAATCAAGCTAAAAATAAACGGCTTTGTTACCTGGAAACTTGCTTAATGTGGAAGTTTTTGACGTTACTTGTAAATTCCTTGATCACGAGGATGTCAATTGATTTATTATGCTGACTTTATAAAGGTCACGGAGATAAACCACCTGAAATGACACTGATTAACTTTTTGCTTTGAGAAAATAGTCGTCTAGGGCAACTTTTTACGCTACTTGCACATCCAAATATCAGAATGATCTCGAGTTGCTCTTTCCTTTTGGCATTCTACTCCGCAAATGAGGTACCGCGGGATATCGACCCTGTACCTCTGGTTTCCCACGCACAGCTAAACCATGACCATGTCGTAATAACCATGTCGTAGAATGCTAACCAAGAATGGGGTATACGATCACACGGCTGTGCCCCATTTTGTCATATGAAAGCTTTGACAAGGTCATGAGTTGGTTCCCGGTGCTCTAGCTTGTCTAGTTTGTGAGAAACATAGATATGCGATGAACTTTTGTTACAACTAGTGTCTTTACATTCCGGAAAAGCCGTGCCTCCATTTGTGGTACTCCGATACTCCTTAAGTATATCAGCATAATACGAAAGCAGTACCTTAAGCATTTCACCTTCATCTGCTATTTCTATATTCAACGAAATCCCTATGACGGTGCAGTCATGTCTGTTAATGAAAAAATGACAGACACGTCAGCCCGATCGTTGACAGATACGTCAAAACAAGTGACTTGAAGATTGAGGCAGGTAGCAAAAGCTCGTTTCTTGAATTCTCGTAAACCGGTCTGCGACCAAAGATGGTGCCATATACCTACTGTCAAATGCATGCCATCGGCAACTGAAAGCGTACTTTTACCTTCCCTGCGTTTGCTATCAATGACCTGCGGAAATGGTATAAAAATATCAGTTAGTCATCATCGACCTACCGTCACGAACTGTTTTTTTATGAAATGTTGAATACCCACTTCCCCGGAACATTTCAAATTGCATCCCTGTCAATATGTTGTGGGAACAGTCTGTGGGTCTCCCATTACAACAACGGGAATGGCTTGTTATATTGTTGGGATTGTTGTCATGGGTCTTCAATAACCTGTTAAGATATAGACCGGTATGGCCAGTAGTAGTTCCTTCCTTCCATCGTGTAATCGAGTGGTCAGTCGGCATAATTTATTTGTTACATGTCTTAATCTTTTAAGCCACTCATTTTGACAGACTAGCAAATACACAAACGCGCAGACACGCACATGCACAGGCACACACGCTTTGTGTGAAATGTATGTGGGCTGACACCTCTTGTGTGGTGTGTATATATATATATATATATATATATATATATATATATATATATATATATATATATATATATATATATATATATATATATATATATATACACCACACACACACACACACATATATATATATATATATATATCTCTCTCTCTCTC